TTATACCATGTATTCAAAGTGAATATTAAAACGTACACGGTCAAAATCCTCTTCAGTACAAAGAAATTTACTTAAACTATTAATTGCACAATGATAGCGCAGTATACGAGTATAAACTGTTAACGTATAAAATACGAAAAAATTGTAGTGATATCCGAGTTAATATTGGTTATCAAATTATTAAGTTTACTAAAAAAAAAAAGAAATTTTTTTTGTTTTGGATCGACCGACCAAAAGAAGTTAAAAAATATTTTAAATTGATAACATGAAGTTATTTACAAAAAAAATAAACTTACATATCAAGATTGAACTGTTTTTACAAGGTTTGTTGTATGTACATGTTCCATTAGATTGTTTCATTTACTGTGTAATACAATTATAAATAAATTAAAAAGTTAATATAAATAATAGTTAATATCAAATTTTAGTTTACATGAAACAAAATTAAGAGTTATTAGACACGACATAATTGTTTGGTAGACAGACGTAAAATGAAAATTGAGAGAAACAGTAGATAACAGAATATGTCTTACAAAGACAATAAGTATATAAATAATAAATAATAAATAACCAAGGATAAACGATATAGATTGAAAGCATTACATCTCTGAAAATAGATCTATACATAATGAATCGAGAGAAAGTGTATCGTTTTATAGATTCAGGCCTAGTTTTTGTTTTTTAATATGTATCATCTCTGATAACAATCTTTTATGTAAAATTTGCTCTTTGTTTAAAATATACGTTATTCCAATCAAATTCATGAAATAAGTCCAATGTTGTGTGAATAGATTGGATCGTGTTTCTGTTAATGTGATTTCTATATTCACTTATGCACATTTTAAGGCATCTGCTTGTTTGTCCAACATACGACGCACAGTCCTTAGAGTCAATCTTATATAGTACATTAATTAAAAATTTAATTACATACAGATTTGAAAATTTTGTTGGACTTAATTAGATACAAATGGAAAATAATTCTGTTGGATCATTAAAATAATTATGTAGGACGCTCAGGCCAAAGAAATCTTTAGTAAAATATTAAAATTTTTTGCAGCATTGCTCGCCATGCTTGAGTTTTTGACATAATTATTTTTATGGTCCAACAGAATTATTTTCCATTTGTATCTAATTAAATTATTAAACACCAGCAAAAGCATTCTTTTCCTTTTGTAGTAGATATTTATTGATTCATAATAAAGTATAATATCTTTATAACATCTTTTATTGCAATTTTATAATTTTTTTTATAACGAATTCCATTATTATAAGATTCGTAAAATAAATATAATGAAATAATTAATATAGAAATAAATATATTTAAAGAGTTTTTATTATAGAAGACTGCTTTTCATATTAATAGCATGTTTTTTTATGTAAATATGAATTATCGACTATTTGCCATACTTAATTTTTTTGAACTCCTCTACAATTTATTTCATATGTTAGTCAATTACTCTACACATTTCAATTCAACGTGACTTGTGACTTCTATATAAAGCATTAGTTATGCTGTAAGATTAAACTATTTTATTCATAGCTTCACAATTTATATACGCGATTTTTAACACTTTCACGTATGGCAATACAATTTTCAAAAATATAAATTGTAACTTTATAATGTGATTTTTTGTTATATAAATAACAATCATCTAGCATATTTTACATGCCAATTAAAATCATTATTAACAACTTTATATATATATATAATATGTTATATGTTATTGATATTGTTTTTCAATTTATTAGTATATGGGTGCGGTCCACTCGGCGCTAGTACAATTTGATTAATCAATCGGAAGAAAGAGTTTTACTAATTGACCAATCAAAAAATGTTTCGAAGCGTTTGTAGCATCAAGTGGACCTTTGAGAACATTATAAATATGGATTTCATTACAATTATCTGAAAAATATTATCTGAAAAAAATAAATAAAAACCAAACCAATATTAAACAAAATATAAATAGGTACTTTAAGTAGTTTATTATGATATATAAGAAATGCGAATTAGAGTTACCAAGTGTTCCTGTGTTTACGTGTATAGTTAAATTCTTTGTTCAAAATAAACAAGAATTAATTAGAAGTTTCAAACTTACAGGGTCATCTCAAACTTTTGAGTCATCTCAACAAATACAAAACGATGTCAAAACTATTACGACAATGTTGACACATACTTCTTATGAATCTCAGAACCTTCTCGATTAATATCATAATTGACTGCGATAATTAGTTTACTGTGTATGTCATAATTTCGTTTTCAGCATCGTTTTGTACTTATTGAGAATGACTCAAAAGTGTAGGATCAAAACGTCTAATTAATTATTTTTTACTCTGACTAAAGAATTTAAATATACACATAAACACCCAAGAACACTTAATGTCAATTCTGATTCACATTCGTTTTTTATATGTCATAAAAAACTACTTAAAGTACTTATTTATATTTCATTTAATATTTGTTTAATTTCTATTTACTTCTTTCAAATAATTCTGATGAAATCCTTTGATTGACACTTATTTTTTAATAATTTATATTCTATAGAGCGTTTTACTTTTCTTATCTAGTATGACAGTATTTCTAGAAAATAAAGATTTTAATTATAATAATGTAAAAAACTTTTTTATTGCCTGTTTTCGATAGAATTGCATGTTAAAAGATTCGTAAAGAATAGTAATAAGAAAGAAAAGAAATATATTAAATAATATTCATATAAAATAATATTTTACAATTCATACTTTCTTGTAAAAGTAATGATTCTCTAAATGACTTTTCAGTTAAACAATAAATTGATAAAATTTCCAATTTCTTCATAAAAAGAATTAAAATATTTTATTGAATTCATTAATTACTTTTTGTAAAGAAAAAATACAGTATATAAAAAAAGTATATAAAAATAGAAGTATATAAAATAAAAGCTAGTCAATATAGTAGACAAAATCACATTGCAGTGATTTTGATACACAGTTTTAATAATCTTAAAAAAATGACGACGCTTGCGTCGAGATTTTCGTGATTTAGCGTTTAGCCGTGTCTTGACGTAGTAAAATATTATACCGCTAACAACCTCTAATGAATGAAAACAAATGGCGGACACACATGCAATACTTCACAGTTGACACGCATTTGCCATATAATAATGCCCTACAGATTTTGTTATGGATGGTGCGAGCGTGGCCGTCCGTATCGCAATAACAAAGTAACAAATGTTTCAATGAAAATTGACATTCGTTACTTGGCTTAATATATCTGCGCACGTGACGACATGTTACTGTGCCGCTGAATATCGTATTGCGCGAAATCATTTTTTTTCTCGTGTTTGCAAAATTAACCTGATGCGATTTATTTTGAAAGCGCAATTAATCTTACCGAATCTAACACAAACAATTCGCCGCGATTTTGTTATGAAATGCAAATTCAACTTGGTCCACAAAGTTTCCAATTTATTCGAAGAATTAAGCAAAACAGAATAAATGAAAAAAATTGTTTACGAAAGTATATTCTGTATTTTCAAAGTTATACGCGTAAAAATCGAATTGCTATAATTCAATTTCTTTTTATGCGCATTTTGATTTCGTATATGATTTCCTTATGAACAATTTTGCTTGATGATAACCATTATAACAAAAGAGAATTAAATTAAATAAAATAAACAAATTATAAGAAGCAAGTGTGCCGCTTTATTTACTGCTAGTTAGCATAATCATGATGGCCTACATTAGTCATTAAGGAGTAAACATCTTATTAAGGGTTCCGTCCTGGCACGCTACGCTTCCGGCCTGAATTTAATAGCGGTGGAACGAAATGGCTTTTCGGGCCATTTCGCTAAAGCTCGTTATCTCGTTAACGATCGAAGCGCCTATTCATATATTCGAGCTTTGTCACGACTGCATCTTATCACGACACTGAGAGAAGCAGAACGAGATATACAATGATAATTACTGCTTAGAGATCGTAAATTCTCTTTAAATTGGAAAGTTTGTACAAGTTATGCGTGTTGTTCAGAGAATATCGCAAATCTATTATCTTATATTCCTGCACAGAAAGAACAGTTTCAATGAAATCTTAAAAAATTGAGCTAAATATTATTAATGAAAAATAATTTTGATGACCTATCAAAATAACGGTTACATTGAATGTTTGACGTCCTATATGTATAACATAATTATTATGATGGTGCAATATAATTATTTTCTGTATCTAACTACATTTTTAAATATTTCCGCAAAATCGTTTTGTGTCTTAAAAGTCTTAATTCTCTGAATAGAAAAATTTTTCATTTTTCGTATTAAAAAAATATTATTGTAATTTATGCTAAAAAAATTTGGAGCACGATCGCTTTCAGATCCAGTTTGATAAATTTGCTTTTAAAATATTTCACTGTATATATATA